GAAATGTCTACGAGCAACAGCTAAACTACTACTGAGGATGTGAACAACTGACTACACATGCCTCCTGCACGGCCATCAGTCCCTCACACAATTTGTAGCTACTTAAATACCAACAGTTACAAAATTGCTTACACATAATTTCCCTATGGATTAATAAAGTATCTTGTTCTGACTTAATGCGCTACAACTACTCTACTGTAATTGTGTGAGACAGCTCACTCACAAACATCACTAATAAATTAGTTTCAGTGTTTTGTTTTCTAAAGCAAAGTACTTCTAGAAGCAAGGCAGACAGCCAAACACCTCAGGGGTTGTATTTGGCAATTATATCAAAGAATCATCTAAACCACCTTTGTTTCAACACATTTAAATTCATGAATCTTTGAGAGCCGTGTTGGCTTCTTAAATTTCCCTGAAGAAGGAAAACAAAGATTAGTTTATCTCAGTTTTCATCTTTTGTTTCACATTTGGTTCAAACAAAGGCTACAAGTGGGACTGCAACAATACTAGAACACAATTCTTTCAATGCTTAAGTAACATTATTTTGAAGATTTAGACTGATATAAATATATATAAAACTGTATCAGCTAAATTGTATTAATATTTAAAAATATAAAAGTTTTTTTTTTCCTTCCTTCTTATTTGCAGGCCAGTAAAACTCAGAGGCCACTGATCTGCGTCTGCTATGTTGGACACTGAATTATAATAAACATTAATTATTAACATCTACACTATCAGGACATCTGTTTTCTGCAACAGGAAACATTTCTTTGAATCTGAGGTCAAGCCTGAGCTCTGAGAATGTTGATATGCTCGTTTTTCTTCATTGCCGACACCACATAGTCCTTTAAAGGCTTAAAGACACACACCTGCTCACTCACTAGCACAAAAACAAACAAAACCAAATCTACCTCTTTCTTTTTTGCTTACAGTTTCATAAAAAAAGTCTTACAAGAAGACAAAGCAAAGCCTATTTTATTTTATGAACTGGCTCCGTTGCATGTATAACTTCTTTTGCTTGAGATTATTGTACTTGTGATTAGTTATCTTTGAATTTAAGAAAATGTTTTGGTTTTTTAGGCAGATGTTTTATGTACGTTGTAGGTGATTTAAGATTTTTATTGTTCATTAATAAGACAAACATATTTCTTACCCGGTTACTCAATGGATTAATAGAATAGTCAAATACTAAAGTAACTGACAGCTGTGGCACTAATTACAAGCCAGTGCGCTCAACAAGAGTAAAGACACATCACGGTTTTGAACTTTGGAACAACTTTTGAAAATTTAAATTCAAACTCTGAACACACACGAGGTCAGACAAGAAAGGTAAGTTATTTCATGAAAGGCAATGCAGTGAACTTTATTTTATGCTTTGTTTTGTTAATGTTTATACTGTAAAACAAGGTGTGCTGTGTGCTACCTGGCTTGAAATTTAAAGAAATCTATATGATCCCTTATAGGATAAATCCAGATCCAATATTTTCTCACCAAGGAATTCCCAGGAACTTAACATCCCCTCCCAAAAACTCATCGATACGTGGCTCTCACCTTTCTAAGCACATCTCTGAGCTGCAGGTGGTCTTGGAGGAGCATTCCTGAGTACACCAGCCGTTGGTCTTTGGACAGCTGAAACACAAACATCACACAATGAGACAAAGAAGTGATATACACACACACACACACACACACACACACACAGTGAGGGTAATTTTTTTTTTCTTTCTTTCTTTCTTTTTTTTTAAATTATGCTTTTAAATATTCTGAAAATGACAGGCATTCAGGTCACTGTCTGACACAATCACACCAGTCTCCTCTATATAGTGTAACCTGATGCAGGATGATAAAACTGCTGGGCTTCTTCTTGAGACACCAAGCAGAGCTTGAACTGAGCGTCTGAGCAAACACAGCCCTCACAGTAAACTTAAACCCAAACATCCACAAACATGTTTTTATGGAAACACTGCCAGCTACTACTCTGTCACAACCAGCTCCCTTTAACCTTCATAGCTAACTCGGTGCAGCAACATCAACATGTTTTTGTTTCCAGTTGAGAAAAGCCTTTTGGTAGCTGATAGCAAAGTATGAGACATCAAACCTGTCATGTTTGTAAAGTGATTAGGTGCCTTGGGGTTAAATGAGAGTACTGGGCTGGATTAGATTTCAAAGCCTACTGAAAGCCTGTGATGTGTACAATCAAATATTCAGTTCTTCACAAGGCTTTCGCTTCTCCTTATCCGTTTTATGAGAGCAACTTGACCGAGAAGGAATACAGACAATTCATTTTCACTGAAGAATCAAAGCAAAGTTGTCTTTGAATCACTGTGTTTCCACTTTTTCAGGAACATCACATCAGTGGTCAAATGATAATGTCTGCATGGGAGTAGTATTACATACTGGTGCATTAGGATCATCTGTAATACTAGAGAAGTACTCCAGTCTTAAAGTGGGGCACACCTCTGGGTGAAACACGAGTCTACAAATATAACCCCATTTTAGCACAGTGCTTGCTGCTGTGCTCTTTAGCCTGCTGAAATATGAAGACCTCCAAGAAAACTTCATCCTGTCTTTAATTTTAAATCCATGTATTCTTTTAATAAACTGACCCCCCCCCCACACACACACACACAAAAACTCACCCCACAGAAAATCTGATTATTCTGTATCAAACATAATATGAGGTTGGGCTCAGCAATCACTTGGATTCAATGAAGATGTCTGTCAACAATTAATGAATTAAATAAAATAATCTCAAAAACAAATACTTTGCTCTTTGTACTAATTTTTTCTATACATCTCTTATTTTTGTTGTATTTATATATCAAGCACATCCGTTTCCTTTACAAAGCGCATTTTTGTTTCTTCCTAAAAGTGAAACTTAATGGTGCTGTAGTTCAGCTTTGAACAACAGAACAGAAACAATCTTTGGTCACTAAGGTCTATCTAGAGGAAGTTAAAGTTGGACCAAGATTTGAACCACTGGACCCGTGGAAAGACTCTATTATGCATTTTGCAAGCTGCTAGGGACCAGCAGCCCAGGCCTTTCTTCCTATTGGACAACATGGTGTACATCATCTCATTTACATCTATTTTTTTTTTTACTTTTATCTGTAAACTGATGATAAATGCCTTTAATAAATGTCAAGCAGCCTACTGAAAAAATGAATTACTGTTTCAAATTATATATGATTATTAATCAAAAATAATCATGATTCTGGTTTCTTTCAGATGGACAAAAAGCTACTCACCGGCTTGCTGGGGTACACACTGGAGATGTGACTTTTCAGCTTCTCCACAGTCCAGTTAAGGAAACAGTTAATGGTCTGGTCTTCATACTTCTGGTTGGGGGCCTTAATGACCAAGGTCACAGGACTATCAACTGCCCCAGAGTCCATGGCTCATATTACTAGAAAGTGGGCTCTGGGGAACCTTCACTGACACAACTCAGGACTGTCCTGAGGAGTAAGCTACCTCAAATTCTCTCCATTCTGGTACTTGTATAACACCAAAAACAGTCAATGCTGCAGGTGAGGGGCTGGTGGGTCCCCTTTTACAATATCTGCTTCATCTCTAGATCTTTTATGAGTTGGAATTCTTCTGGTAGCAGGTTGTTGGATTTCTGTTTTTAAAAAAGAGAGAGTAGCATTTATAGATTACACATTATCCTAAAACATTTTGTTTTGATTTATACAAAGTATTTTTCTAATATCTATAATTTTATTTTTTGAAATGTAAATTTTAAGCACACATGCAACATGGAAATCTGTGTGGTCATCCTTCAGGTAAACTTCAAAGAAGTATTAAAGGGATAACTACTGCAGCTGTCCCTGTCTGTGACAGAGTTAAATCCCTCCCCAAGTGTGCCAAAAAAACTCTTAAAATATAGGATAAATAAACGAACTTACAGGCTATAAATGATTAATAAAGATAAACTCCAGCTCAACCATTCAGGGTTACAAGGCTGGAGCTGGTGTAGACCCTTGGCAGGTCACCAGTCTATAATTGTTCATCTGTCCTACCTGTCTGACACTCTGCCCCAAACTTCCTGCAACTGAGGAAACTGATCAACAAAAAGCTCACTTTTGCATACTGTAATAAGCAATGCACCAGCTCACTGCAACAACAATTCACAGCTGGCTCACAATGAAAAGCAATGTATCTACAAAATGTAGCACACGCAAGCGAAAATAACCGCAGGTGAGGCGGAGGGGTCGGGAGTTTCGGTTAAACTTCCTGATACCTGCCATGTTGGCCCATCTTTACAGTAAACAATTAAAGCAACTTTAACTATAAATCACACCGAGTCGGGTTAAACCTGACGGTTTAGCGTTAGGTGAGCTATTAACGCTGCTTATCTGTACAATCCTCAGGCGAACACACTAACACACATAGCAAACTAGCCTCACTGGGCCGGTCACTCCAATCAACTTGGCTTTTATTTTGACCCTTGGTTATGAAGCCAGGGTAACGCCGTTAGCTTCTTGGCTAATGCTAGCGTCGCTGTGGTTTGGTAATAATTCGGTGGGACTAGCTAGCCTCTGCCAAGGTGACAGCACATTTAAAGGTCTAACGATAATAAATGAGAACACGTTGCATCAGAGGGCTTTCTGTTTGTACCTGTTTACTCTCCAGTCAGTCAGTCAGCGTCGACTCCCCGTCCCAGCTCGGCTCGCCTGCCTTGTTGTTGTAATGTCGGGTGTGAGAGCGGAAACACGTCATTCTCTTTGCAACAGCTGATCAAAAAAACAAAGAAAAAAACAAACAAAACCAAAACCTTGCACCGCAGTAATAAATACGCATTAAAGTTAGTATAGTTTCGTGTTTTTGATTTCACTTTGAAATTTAGAATTGAAAATCTACAGTTCTAGTTTAGTATAGTGGTTTCAATCTATTAGTTTATAGTCTTGTGATATAAAGGTGTTTTAGAAGTTGACCATATACATTGTAATTTCAAAGCAGACAACAGTAACACGCAGACTCAATAAATATAAGAACCAATATTTCGTTCCTGGTCATTTTATTAGGTATGCCTTTTCAATAAGTCATTAATGCAAGTATATAATGACAATGATTCAATACATTTAGGCATATAGACGTGGTCAAGACGAACTCAAGTTTAAACCTAACGTCAAAATGGACAAGCAAGTTGATTTAACTGACTTTGATGATTGCATGGTTGTTGGTGCTGATCTGGATTTTCTACACAACCAAAAAATGAGAAAACAGCCATTCAGCAGCAGTTCCCTGGGCCAATTTTTAAAAAGCCCCGTTGATGCCAGACCGCACCAGATGCCACTCTTGTCAACTTAGAACTGGACACTGAGGATAAAATCTGCACCAATCACCAAAACTGGACATATATTGTTTGGTCTGATGAGTGTCAGGAAAAATACTACATAATCATCCAGCAAAGAATGACTCACGCAGGGTTGGAGCTTTATTTTTTTTTCTTCAGCAATGTCATTTAATTCCCCAAACATAAATACAAATAATGACTTCATGCCCCCAGTCAGCAGGTTTTGGCTTTATATATAGCCATGTTATTTCAAAGTGGAGTGCAATAAACTCTAAAAAGAGCCTAGTTTAAATTATTTATATCTATAGAAAATGTAGATGGCAGCATATTTGCGTGTGCATACAATTCACAACACTGGTGCTGCACTTCGCTGATGATATGATGCAATATCGTAATTTATTTATCACATTTGGTACTCAGTCTGGTAAATTTTAAGCAAATTTAGGTCCTCTGTGACATGATGTTCTTACACAGTATAGTTTTGTATTGCTTTACCATTTGGTTACTAAAAGTGGAAAAACATGTAATACAATTAATCTTTAAGAAAACTATTTTTGAGACTTACATTTCATTATTCATCATTGACATTTTAGATACATTTTTTTTAAAGTGTATTTGTTTTATTTGTAAGATTTTCAATTTTTCCACGCCTACTTCAAATGAACCTCTTAAACAAAGGACTGATCGTTGGAATGGCACTCCACCACCAGAGGGCAGTGTAAGTTGCCTAACAGGCAAAGCACATTTGGAGAAAATGTTATGCTTTTGTCCAACCACACAGCCAGACTTTAAGTCTCAGCGCTAAAGTATTTAGCACCTCCTCAAGTGCCGCAAAAGTTTTTCCTTTCTCAAAATATTCGCACAGATTGTAGAAGTTATTACTTTAGGATTGTTTATACCCCACATTCTACAATAATAATGCTATTAGTTGCCTTTATTTTTTATCTGTGTTTCATAAATATTGCACATGCGGAATAATTTCCACTGAATACATCTTTGCATGTACTAGAATAAAATCCAGAAATGTTTTCAGCCATATTTCTTGCTTTTTGTAATGTGTGGTATTGATTTTAAAGTGCTGATATTAATTCACATCTGGGCACCGAATTTGCAGTAGGCCATATGGAAAAGTAAAACTGCCTTAGCAGTTCAACAACTCTTATTTTCCCACAAATGACGTGATAAGCATGCTTCATTAAATGACACAGGAATGGATATGGGTGTGTACAGATTTCCTGGGTGCTTTGTGTGTTTATCCCAGGAAGACTTGCTGCATGGAAACTACTGATTACTGTTTCAGCTTGCGCAGAACCTCCTTTGTCAGCTGTTTACTGTATCGGTTGATCTTCCAGTGTCCCGGCCTCCATCCCAGCAGAAAACGATGAAAGTCTGTCCAAGCAAATGCAAACATTTCCCTCCACTCTTTCTCAAGGGCATGAAACTCTACGTCTTTTTTTAACGATAGCTTTAGTTCTGAAAAATAGTAGTCCAGTAGTCCTGGTACCCTCTTTTCACACTCCCTCTCCTCCATACAGCTTCCTAGAAAATATACAACATCTTTCATCCCGCAGCCCCCGCCCACATACTGAAAGTCCACAGCTGCCACATCCTTCTCACTCTGGGAAAAACAGAAATTAGCTAATTTGGCATCTCCATGAACGATGGTCTTGAAGCGGCACTCACTGAGTATCCTGTCAATGTCGCCTGCTGCTGCTTTGAGCTCAGCATCATCCATGGCTTCCAACTCGTCTGGCCGGGTTTCCAGGTGCCAGTAGGTACCGACAGGCCACAGACCCTCTGGTGCCACACCCAAGAAGAGAGCGTGAAAGTGAGCAAGCCAGCTCAGGCAAGCCTTTATCTCCCTGTCTGTAACGCTCGTCCTAAAAAGAATAAAATATATTTTTTTAACCACCATAAATTATGTTTGTTTCACTATTTGGCATGTCTTTATCATGGCTTTAAGGATATACCTATCCAGGCTAATAAAGGCTCTGATCTGAACTACTCCCTTTCAGAACTACTTTGAAAGTGCTCAGACACATCAAACGACCCCCAGAAGAGCTTCTGCCTATTTCAGCAGTTAATTTGGAAATGAGGCACCTGAAACTGAACAGTGTTTAAGTTACATTAAACAGAAATAAAATTAAAAATAACTAAACATCAAAAAAAGTGCCTTCAGACCTAAAATTACAAATGAATATTACAATAATGCCCTTAGAAAGTTAAATTATCTCCTCCCTCACCTAAAACACAATTTATGAACATTTTTGATGTCTACAAGAGAATCCAGTGTTTACTGCATTAATGCCAAGCTATAGTTTATATGCAGGCCTCCTGTTTTACTGCACGCTCTCACGGCAGTGGCAGAAAAATGGAAAAACATAATGCAAGTACAAAACACTTCATTACAGTTCTTAAGTAGAATTTTCAGGTATCTGTACTACACTTGAGTATTTATTTTTCTAATGAAGTTTAACCTTTACTCTCTACATTTCAGCACAACAGTATGTCCTTTTTTGCTCCTTACACTTTCAAAACAGGTTCATTACTTTAGGTTTGTAGGGACTTATTATTTCCTGTCACTGTTTTCCTTCGCAACAGTAACCGATTGTGGAAAGAAACAGTAACACATAAAATACAATCCTATTGGTGTAGCCATCACCAGTGCTCACAGGAGGAGATAAAAAAAAAAGGGCAAACAAATATGTAGATATAATCTGGCCCAATAATCAGGGGTTAAAGTTTGCATAAAAATACTAGACAGTATAGTGCAGATTGGGAAGGTTAGTTTGTCTGGTTAGTTTGCAGTACTGTTTAGTCTACAGTAATGTACTGGATTGGTGCAGGGTAGCTGTGGTTTTCATGGTCAGAATCAGACTTCAGTGCCAATTTAAGCTGATGATTCACTCACCAAATTCCACGTTTATACTAGCTTTATGCTGTCTATGGGTGGGAAATCAGCCATGACTGCTTAGGTATACAAACCATATACTTTATAAACATACACAAATATACACAAGTCGCGGAGGAGGGGTGGGGGTTAGTATATCTGAATAACATGAACACTTCATAGACTTTTATGGATTTTATGCAACATGCTTTTTGAAGCTTTTTTCAGAGTTTCTAAGCTTATACCTCCTCTGATCGTAACCGGCCACGTCCAGATCCTCCAGCACGATCAGCATCTCATCGCCATAGGAACAGGCAGCTAGGCAGGCAGGGATGCGACAGCTCTGATTGGTGGAATAGTTTTGGTACCAATGTGTCTCCACCTGGTAGGATTTCACTTTACGTGTGTGGGATCGATCTGTGTTCCAACCCCCGGGGTGCTCTGCTTCCTCTGGAAACTTAACGTGTTTTACAACCACGGAGGGCCGGTTACAGCCCTCCAGGTGCAGCCGGACTATCTCCCCATAACCACTCCACAGGGTCTGGATCTTAGCACCGACTCGCAGAGATGAAGCATCACATGCCTGCAGGATGAGGTCCTGGTACTCCTGTTTCATTTCCACAGCTACGGCTGAATGAAAGAGGAGAGTTAGCAACATTTAAAAAGCGTCCTTGTATGCGCTGCTGGAGGTCTCTGTTGAAGTGTCGCACTCACCTGATTCTTAAAAGTTTTTGCAGCAGAACACCAAAGGTTTCGTTTCACCCACACGATTCACTGAATACTGAATAAGTATAATATCGATTTTCTCGCAAATGTGTCAGGACACCGACACGGTTTAAATCATCCTACGGTTCAGGAAGTATTCGGCATTTAAGGAAACCCGTGCGAAAAGTGTGCAACACTGCCACCTACTGGACTGGAGTGCGCACAAAGAATCCAATAAAAAAATGTCATCGCTCATGGACAATGAAATTGGATGCAATCTTAGCAACCCAGAGAAGCCATTATACGTCTGTGATTGCATAAAGTAGTTCTTATTATAGGTTTGTGAGCAGTCCAGATTTCAAGCACTCTAATGTAACATCAAATATTATTTTTTTGATTATATAAACAAAATAAATAAACTTTATAACAGCACAATGTCATCTCTTTTCTCTCAGCAATGTGTGAGTGTATTCTTAATGAAATTTAATAAAGAGTAAGATTAGCAACACAATAATCAATACAATTTAATTTAAATAATATTAAATGCTTGCTGTATACAGCAGGTAAAAAAAACGTATTGAAAACATTAGTAACTGTCTAAGTAAATATATTTCTAAAGGTGTTTTTGACATGAAATTCTCACCAGATGTCAGTAACAACTGATCCACACATGCAAAGAAATCAAACCACAGATGTCTATAAATTAAATTATGTGTAATAATGTGAAATGACACATGGAAAAAGTTTTGAAGACGCTGAAATGTTTCAACAACTGTGAAATTTATTTAATATTTTGTACAGAAGCCATTGTTGATGATCACAGCTTTAAGATGCCTCCTGTTTGACGAAACTAGTCGCATGCCTTGCCCAGTCGTGATTTTGGCCCATCCTTCCACACAAACAGTCTTTAAATCCTGAAGGTTCAGTGGGCCCCTTACAAGAACTCTTAGCTTTAGTTCTTTCCATAGATTTTTAATTGGATTCAGGCAAGGTGATTGTCTGGGCCATGCTAGCAGCTTGATTTTCTTTTCTCTGAACACAACTGAGACTTTCCTTGTCTGTGTGTCCGGAATCATTGTCGATTACCCTCATTTTATCTCCATAATCTTTAAATGGCGGCAGATTTTTTTTTTTTTTATTTTTTTAAAGTCAAGAATGTCTCACTACTACTACCTCCAAACTTCAATAGTGTTTCTGGGGTCATATACAGTGCCTCTTGACCACCAAACATGGTGTATATTATGGGACCCAAAGAGTTCAGTTTTGGTCTCATCTGATCAGGGTATATTTCACAGGTTTTTCTAAATGTTGTCCAGGAACCTTTAAATATGCTTCAACATGCTGCTTTTCAGCAATGGAGTCTTGTGTGGTGATTATACAGAAGGGCCATGGTGGTTGAGAGCAGAAATTCTTCTGTAACCAATGTGATCAGTATTTTTGCAGCAATATTGTTGCACAGGTCTTGTGAGAACTCATTGATTTTACCCATAATAAGATGTCTCTCGTGTGACACCTTGGTAATGAGACACCTTTTTATAGGTCATCAGCTGGGACTGAACCAGCTGATTTCAGATTTCAGCTGGTGTCATGACTTTCCCTGCCTTTTTGCACCTCTCTTTCTCCACGTGTTCAATACTTTTTATCCCCTGGGTTATTTCTCATTATTACACATAACACAATGTATGGACATCTATTGTGTGATATTTTTTTCCTTTGTGCATTGCATAGATTGTTACCAACATCTGGTGAGGATTTCATGTCAAAAGCACATTTAGAAATACATTTATATAAATTTAACTTAGAAATTTATGACATGTTCAATAAATACCATACCATACCACCTTTATTTATAAAGCACTTTAACATAAAACCAGAGTTCACAAAGTGCTGTACATGCTAATAGCATAAGTAAAGAAAATTAAAATGAGATAAGATAAAATAAATAACTAAAAAACTAAATATAAATATTTTACCCGCTGCAAAACAATTGATCCACCCACTTTGAATTGATAAAATAGAGTACTCAGACAAAATAAGAAGAAAAGATGCATAAAAAAGAGCAGAAATGTTTTCAGGATCAATGGCTGGGCATCTGGATTGTTTCAGTAGGCCAGAGCAAAATAACTGTTCTTCCTAAACAGGGCAAGGACCTTAAAAGTGACCTAGTTTTGAGACAGCTTGAGTAATTTTGAGACTGGTAAACATTTTCCAAACATTTTGGCCTGTAATGTTTCAAAGTCATTTAGATTCATAATTTATTACCCATTTTACTGTATGTAAATGCTCTGTGGTTCTAGATAATGGCCAAAAAGCATGCATGCTGAGATCTGTGCAGGGGGAATTATTTGTCTAGATATTTTCATCACAAACTGGAGATGTTGTTGCTTTGCAGCCAGTTTTTAACAGCAGGAACTATTTTAGAGAGGATCAAAAAGACCTGCAACCAAAGAAGAATTTTGTCTTTAGCCCATGTCCACACAGTCAAAGATGCATCACAGCTTCACTTTTGGCTTTGTCGGCTTCATTTTATGAGAGAGAAAACAAATATGCTCAAATTCTAAGTTTTCAAAATTTATAATCAAACAGTTAGAATTTCAAATCAGTTTTACATGGCATCATTGAGACAAAGGCTCCCACACCGAGGCAGTAAACACTTTTATTGTGTGTGGTAAAAACAGAATGTTAACATGATTGGTCAGAAGTTGGAGGAAATTTTTAGGTCCGACATCCGGCTCACGTTTCATCTCCTGCACCTTTTGGACATCTCCCTGATAAAGAGATGACACTTCTCACATCACCATGGCAACCATCCAATGTTGCTTTCTGGCCTGTAGAGTTAGAGAAAGGGGAGGAATTGGGGAGAGAGAAAACTTTCAAACACCAGAATTTATAGACATGTTTTGGTCTAGTAGAGTCAGCCTTTAAGTTTTGTACCTTGTGGTGCCAACACTAGTCCAGGCAGACTATCCCCATCAAATTCCTCAGTGAAGGGGCTTTGCCCTGTTCGTATCTGTTAGTGTTTGAGTGTAACAGTCTAAATCTAAAACTATTCTACAATACACATCTAAATGCAAATGTTGAGGTTATTGTGTAATATCGAATAATGGGGGTACATAAGTATGAGTATATGAGCCTTAAAGATAAAAAAATAAATTGTAACAGCTTCACAAACTAAACAATTCTTATTTTTAGAATACAATAATCCTTTCAGTCGGTTAGTATTCTGAAAGCAACTAAAATTCTAAAGGTCTCTTTGTAAATGAAGAATTTCTTTTGGTTAAAATGAACACAAAAAGGTTCCTGCAGAGGCAGAGAACAGTTATAACAGTATTAAGACTCAGGGTATGGAAATTGACTATGATGTGTGAAAATGGGCATTGGTTAAGTGGATATACTAACCAATTATCCTAACTATATACGTGAAGACCACACCTGCTGACATCATGAGGTCACCGGACTACGACAGGGTGAACACAGAGAATCTAACCCAGAGAAATAACAACACACATTCTCATTTTCCAGCTGTAGATAATTGAGAATCACAAATTAACCAAACATAAATGTCTTTGAGAGGAAATCCACAGAAGCACAGTCTGTGGCCTTTCTAAGTGAACGCCACAGCTGGGCAGCAGATTCAAATTCAGAACTTCTTTAGTTTATATTTCCAGTAGTTTATCCACAGTGCTATATGTATACAGGCATAGCTCACTTGCAATATGAAGTGGAGGCTTAAGGGTAAAATTTTACAATGGAAGAGCTTCCCAGGGTTTGCATTTGTAATCCTTGTTTGCGTGTGTTTTGCATACAATATACAAAATGCATTTGCATGAACACTGAGTCTACACAAAGAAAATTAACCACAAAACCTCCACACTGTGTAACCCTCTTACTGTAAATAAGTGCAACAAACAAAACAAAAGATTCTGGGTTACTTTCTATAACATCATAC